AAACAGAGATAAATAAAAAAGATATATATATATACTGAATAAATTCAACCCACACTGTCTTTTAAGCAAATCTCTAAGCAAAAATGTGGATAGGAGAAGAGTCCATGGCCCAATGTTCCATCACAGTGAAGGACATACAAACCAAGGTTTTGAATAAATCTGTGTACCAGGTGTGGCAGTTCCAAAATCCCGAGCATGCATGCAGAATACCAAAAGGCTGAACAGGAACAGCTAGAACATGCAGATTTCAATCTGTGTAAAAATGTGCAATGTGGCACAGACTGAACTATGTCTGCTACTGAGGGATAAGGAGAATGGCTGAGGGGAAGATACAGTATTTGAAGAAAGAAAATCAAATAGACAGGTGGAAAAGCACGGAGGAGGACTCAGGAGCAAAGACTGGAACTGAATATCACACAGTGTCACTACTACGTCACTAAAAAAAAAATGAAAAGACTGAAAGTCTACAGCCACACCAGCAGTTGTTCTTCAGCAGGCAAGAGCAGTGGCAGTTGCTCCTGTTGTCATTAATATTATTATTATTATTATTAAACTGGCCCAGCTTAGATATCAACATATAATCATGCTACAAACCCTTTTGTGTTATAGCAGTGTCTCACAACATTTTCTGATTCCACAACATCGTGACATCTCTGTTTTTGCAGTCCCACACAATATGTGTGAAAGCACATGTGTGCAATTGCACTGACTGATGCACACATTGAGAATCCATCTCTTTCTGTGTGTAGGAGTACAAAGCAACACATTAGCCAAAATGTGGTTCCTCAAGGGCAATAAGACCCCCACACAGTTAAACCTCACGTAGGAGGACATCAAAAAAAATGCTTCCTTCTCCCTCTGGATTCAACTAATAAAACTGTTAGCAACCCTGCTGGTGTGCTACTCATACAGGCAGGGTTACACCACCGAATGCATCATCAGACTCCTGAACACATGAAGAGGCTGACATGAGGAAACAATCCAGAATCACTCATTCAAGTCTATTCACAGTCGGTTGCACTGCAAACCTTGACTGAGGTGAATCTCGGAGGACAGACCAGGTCATCGGGGCTTCTGTGTGTGTGTAGTGTAGTGTGGATATGTTAACCCGCACATATCTAACACAAGCATATGCAAACACTGACAAATAAAATAAGTCAAATATACATGTAGACAATAAAGACAGCCTTCATCACATACCTACATGTTACATTTAAATAAATATAAAATGATTCCAACATGAGCGGAGCAGCAGCTGGGAAGCTGCCTCAGGTACCAAGTGTTAAAAAGAGATAATAATGATATATCACTTTGTAACTCTCCACTGTTGGGATTGATGGCGATGACTAATGGCATCTAATGATGATGACAATGATGAAGAAGGCAGTAGATGATGGGTCATAAAAATGACTGATGAACCGTGCTCAACTTGGACCATTGAGAGCTGATACCACTCTTGCTGTGCTTTATGATAGAGCATGTTGTTGTCTTTGCTGCAATTTGTAGTGAGTAGCAACAACAGCCATATTTCTCATGCAGCAATTAGCATTTCAGAAAAACCCCTGGGGCTGAGAAATAGCCTTAAAGCAGACTAAACATCTTGCCTGGTTTTCATTTCTCCACAACAGAGCTCTGGAGCGGGTCCAACCAAACAATAGCACTTCACTGAGCTGGTACAGGATTTATTTAGTCAGAAACCAGTATTCCAAACAAGGGTAAATGATGTCCATCAGCTACTGCTAAATTAAGTGGCAAAAAAGAAATGAATACTATTATAATAAATGTGATATCTCCCACTGACTGACAGCTGGTCTTAAAAAGGATTGCTGGCATTACAACGAGGAGTATACGACCCATCTATCCATTTGAACACAATAAAGGTCTTATATAATTAGTTTCTTTGCCAAAATAAGATTATAATACCGTGTGAGAAAGAACTGCACATGAGCAGTGGAATTGTTGCTGAGCTAATAGAACATTCAAATCAAAACATGACCACTCTGCAGCCTGTACACTGATGAAAGCTTTTCTTGCCTAGACACATAAGTATTTTGTTGTGTACTGTGTACTGCAATAAATAAGTAAGCAGTAATAAGAATACGAGTCTTTATTTTCTCCCGAGTTGTGGATATGTTACAGTTCCTCATTCTGAAGACTCTTACTGGGATTACTACACCGCAACTGCAACCTAAACTGTCAAATAAAAGCAAATATCCACAACAGTCACACCAATTGCATGACTGTTTAAAATATGAATATAGTGATATGACTGAGCACCTCGGTAAACAACCAACCAGCTATTTATTCCCACATCAAAGTCTAAAGAATTCAGACTAAATGAGACTAGAACTATGACAGTGGCTCATTCAGGGACAGTGAGCCTCGGAGCTAAATTTTGAACAACACGCTCAGAAGTTCAGGACAATGGAGCCTCGGAGCTAAATTTTGAACAACATGCTCAGAAGTTCATGGCATTACCAACATGCAGATGTTTAGTAGGTAGAGTGTTTACCATTTCGACCATCTTAGTTAACTTATTAACATCCTAACATATGCTAATTAACAATAAATACAAAGTACACCTGAGCCTGAAGGAAATGTCATTCAGTCCTGAGAGGGACAGGAATATCTGTAACAAATTTCATGACAATAGATCCCCAGACATTTTACTCAAAAATCACAAATGTGACCCACACAGTGGTGCTAAACGAAAAGTCACGGGCTCACCAAAGTCAGTATGATTCATCCTCTGGGAACCAATACCTGTACTAAATGTTATAGCAATTCACCAAATAGATGACATGTGTCAGTCTGCACCAATGTAGTAAACTGAATGACCACTAACGTTTCCATCCCCGCTCGACTGACTTAAAAAACCCTAAACTCTATGTTTATAAAAAGGATGCAGATGATGTTTCTGCATCCTTCTGATTAAATTTAGTTCCGAAACTGAAGGGAGCACTTTGTGAGCTTTTACTTTTGTAGCACATATGAGAGCAAACTTTCACTTATAAGATGCAGACGTTTACTGCTTCAAGAGAGTTAGATTAATCATCAGCAGGTGCATGTAAACACTAATGTTCCAGTCATCTACAAGCTGTGCCAGCCTCCTACCTTCCTCTGGTATAGTTCCTCTGGTGTCGTTGACCTCAGGCTGACCAGACGGTAGTTCTTGACGACGGTGCGGGGGCGCTTGCGCAGTGGAGCAAAGCGCTCCATCTCCGTCACATAATATAGTCCCTGCTTGATGTAGCCGAAGTAGCGGGCTTTGGCTGAGGACTCGTCATCTGAGTCAGAGTCTCCTCCGTCGTCACCCTCCTCATCCTCACTTGCCCCGTCGCTCAGGTTGCTCTCCAGGCGCCCACGCTTCTGGGCCTGCTTCACCTCACACTGTGGATGTAAAAATATAGCATTATAAATGGGATGGAGTAAACCCAAACAAAAAAAATAAACAGACGAATTAAAAATTGATGCAAAAAACATAAGACAAACTAAACAAGTGTTTTAAACATACATTTACTGCAAACATATGGCTCAGACATAATAAGAAAGCCACAGTTTTGAATTAAAAAACATCTGTCGTGTTGGGTCTAATCATAAAGTGAAGGCTTCAAAACAGAACAGCCATTCCCAGTGATAGAAAGGTAAATCATACTTTGCAATGCAGCAAACCTTACAGTTAGCTGTGCTTAAGCTGATAAACACACTTAATTTCACACCTCTATGCCAGATCAGCAGAGTGACTGAACAACAAACAACAGCAAGGTCAAGCTGATCAATAAAAATTCTAAATCCAAGCTGTCCAAAATTCAGCCTGTCTGGTCCTGTTCTTGAGTTCTGTGATTGCCTCAGTTGAAGAAAAATTACTGCACATGCCCATTTTTCATCTATGCATTGCAGTAAATCTTCATATTTCAGAGAGATGCCCCTTTGGATTTCAGCTCATGAGAGGAAAAAAAAGCTGGCCCCTCTGCTCTGCTCCTAGCAGGGGGTTATGAAACATTTGGCACCTGTAAAACATTAAGCTCCTTGATCAATTTAGAGCTGAGGCAGCTTCCATAGTGCTACAGTGCATGAATGCAATTCATCACAGGCAGGAAATTGCACATGTACAAATCATCTGAAACACACAAGGTCACATTATTCCACATCTGTGCAGATGTGCACACAGTACAAGCCCAAAAATCAAGGGAATTTCAACACACCCTCGGCTGTAGATGCAGCTACAGGCACCCATCCCCCACTCCATGCTAAAGCAGGCTGATGAAACCTTTCCAAAAAGTTGGCAGCTGGCTGGTAAAGAAATTTCTCTCTCTCTCTCTCTCTTCCTCTCATTGCTATCAGATAAAAAATAAAGAAAAGCAAAGGCCTAAAATAAAAAAGAAGTGCGATGTGATAACAAGGTCCTTGTGGGGGGGGAAAATAAAGCTGTGATACTTTCATCATTCATCTCTTTCACCATTGTCATACATTCACATGCCTTAAAGAAATGAGTCTCACAAAATGAAACTGCCTGCATGAACATAAACATGTAGGACTCTGGGTAAACATTCCTCATGGCAGCACAAAAGCTCCATCATGAAGCAGTGCACACATTTATGTCGTCATTGATTTGACTGTGTGTATAGACATTTGACCTCAAATGCACGTTCTGTCAATCCTTAATAACATCTTCATGATACTTGCCCAGTCTGCTCCCTTTTTCTCACCCAGTACATGTGAAACAGACTCCAGCCTGTGTGATGGCTGTTTAGAAAATGAATGAAAGGATGGCAAACAATTGTCCTCTACTTTATAATATCCCTTTTAAAGCCCATAGGTTATTTAGCCACACTCACACACACGCCGCGATCTGGACCTTTACCTCCAAGCTGATGAAGCCTCCATCGTACGCTGTGGTAAGTCGAGGTGAGGGCTCAAACCATTCACAAGATTTGCCCAGGAGGTTGCGGAGCGTCCTGACCGACGAGACTGTGACAGAGCCAGAGCAGCGAGCCAGAATCAACACGTTCTCACTCCACCAGCTCACATCCACCAGCGGGTAGTACTGCTCTTTATCTGGGACACATAAGGAGAAGCATAAGGGCAGTTATACTGATAGGACTGTACGCCAGAGAAGGACAAAAGCCAAATGAGATTTGTGTTAAAATTGTCAGCAGGCGTGCTATTTATAGTCTGACATTTTAGAATCATATAGTCTTAGCCCCACAAACTTTTTTCAATTGGTGTCTTCCTCTAGGAGTTATTTACACATATGGACACATTTATCGCTTGCCAAGCATGAGATGAAGACTTATACACAGATCATTGCTTACACAAGCTGTCACACCTGTCACAGCTGTCAACATAACTGGCCAAAAACTGTCAAAAAAACAAGACTGTAAAAGCTGCACAACCAGGTATACTGTACACACAGACACACAGAGGGAGTTATACAAGTACAGAAATACACACACTCACAAGCATGGACACTAAAGGAGAAAAATACTAGCTTGCCATGGCATATGGTAGATGGTTGTCTGCCTAAATAACTGTATAATTCAGTGAATAGGACATGTCAGAGATCAATAAATTGCATCCAGCGTGCACTGCTGTGTCAGCAACAAGGTCAGCTTTCTTTAGTCCTTCAGGCCAAATACCTTTTATCTTCTTCCTTCTCTCCAGCGATGTCTTCCACTCTGGGTTGATCTCCTCAAATCCTGGCTGCAGGGAGGACCGAAGAATGGAGGGATCAAAAAAGAAGGGAGGAAAATAGAAAGAGAGGGAACGAGAGAGTGGGGGGGATTAATCTGCTAAAGGTATTTACACTTTCAGCATGCACACACGAAGCTCTGCCAGCTCAGATGTGCCATGAAGCAGAACATATACACACGCCGCATAAATCAGCAAAACATACCATAAAAATTTAAATTCTCTCTAAGCCACCTCACTTACTGTCTAATGGCGATACACACACACACACTCAGAGAGATATTACATTAAAACAGCCAGTCAAGCATCTAATGTACAAAACATTAGCGGGACACAAAAATGTAACGGACATAGATTTATTCTGAACAAACTAAGTCATGTGCACAGACACACAAGCAGCTTAGAGGTGCACCTGTTGGTCTTGGCTCCATGTGGTCCTCTGTTTGAGGGAGGGGACGTCCCAGAGAGACAGACGACCAGAGAAGTGAATCACAGCCAGGAGGGTGCCATTAGGACTCAGACTCATGCGGAATACACCATCCTAAACAACACAAAAGCAGACACATATAAATATTTAGATTTAAAAAAAATGCTCTCTGGTTTATTCTGGTTAATCTTTTAACTGGCAATGAGGCAAACAGAAAGAAGAGGGCTGTGCCACCTTTTCATCTCCTTGTCTTGACAAGAACCTGAAGCTGGGGATCCTGATGAAACCTCTCTTGTGATTCTAACAGGCGAGGCAGTAGAATGTGTGTTAGATATTGCTTGAAAAATATTCCATGAATGTGCATAAGTGTGTGGTCTCCTCACCGCACTGACATCATCCTCATAGCTGGTGACCTGTTTGTAGTGTGGCGAGCCAGACAGAGCCCTCCAGGCTGTGATGCCACAGCAAGAGGCCTTGGATGTACTGTCATAAGCTGACTCGCAGCCTCCCACCAGCAGCAACCTGAAAACAAGCGCACGCACAAATACTGTATATACCACCTCTACGATTATGCCCCAGCAGATCCATTTAGCACTACATGACAAGCACAGAAAATTAAGGTGGTTACTGAGGTCGCCCTGGAGTCACAATGAGTGTTCATGCCACTGAAGCATCATTTAACAAAGTAGATTAAAAAGTTATTTATCAGAGGAAACAGTCTAGATGGAATCAGTGAGTGCTACTAATACATAAGCAATGCCATGGTGACCACAATGATGTGTAGGTCTCTCCTTGCGGTGAAAAAGAATAGATGCGACAATGGTCTGCAACTCAGCAGCAAGGTGAAGATGAAGCAATGCTGTTGCAGGACTATACTGCCCCCTAGTGTGGAGAAATTAGACATTTAGTAAAAGCTGAGTGAGTTTGTAAAAGCAATTTGTGTGGTCGACACAGAAACCCATGTCTGTTATAAGCAATGCTTTCTGCATGCTATACCTTTGTCTGTAGGCCTGGTAATGGTAAAAACAGTAAGGTTACAGGGTATGAACCACACATCAATCACCAGAACCTTTGAATGCTAGGTGATGGAAAAAGGCCATGGACATTCTGGACAAGCTGTAGCTTAGTCCTGGCAGTCCAGCCTTAAAGTGGTCACTTCTCTTATGCCTCATGGCCTCAATGCCTGTGCGGGAAGCCCTTTTTTTTTTTTTTTTTTTTTTAAATCATTATCATATAATTACCATAACCCGTCTGCAAATTCATGTTTTCATGGTAAACTAAGGTTTTAGTTAAAGTGCACTGTAATGCAGTAAACCCAAACTTAGTTCTTACATAGATGCTGGATGAAAGACTGTTCTAATATAAAAAGGTTTTCACTGTGGCAACCACAAGGGAAAAATAAAAGCGTGTCAAATGAATGCTACAGGCATTAATTGTACTGCCACTGATAGATTAAACTCTAAATGTTGGCAAAAATGTTCATTTTTCAAAATATTCATTATTCCAACTATATTCTACAAGCACCTCGGGCTGACAGGGTGCTGGCAACAACTTACTTACCGGTGGCTTGGGTGGTAAATAGCTGTGGTGATGCCGTGGGAGTAGTGGGAGGAGAAACTGAAGCTGTGGTTCTCTTGGAAGTTCTGATTGGTTCCCACACTACGGGGGTGGGGAAGGGGGGGTACAAGACAAGTGACAAGTCACTTATAATTGAACTCTGGCAGATAAACAATCAAAACATGAACACTTGTGTTGAAAATGTTAATGGTGCAACAAAGCTGTTTCAGGGAAGATGACAGGGCAATTTCAATCCCAGCTGCAATTACAATGAGACATGGCAAGATATATAATATAATTTAAGTGGGCAATCTAAATTAGATAGGTCCTAGGGGAGATGGCATGCAAATTGTGTTGGGATATTTCACTGGGGAAATGCTTCCTTGTGACCTAAGCTGTATAAAAAGAAGGAGCAACTGAGGTAAACAAAAGGAGGAGACAAAAAAACACAGCACAACAGAAAAAGCTTAGAGATTTAAAATATTTCTCACAGATCAACTTCCTCCAGGCATTTTAGGTGTTTATTTAATAGTAAAGCAACTGTGTGCATGTGAACATACAGACGAGAGAAATTGTGGCACACAGCAAGTGAGAGAGAGAGATGACTTACAGTCAAGGCTCAGCTATAATTCTGAACATCTAATTCAAAGTGTTTGAGCATTAGAATGCTGCACTCATATGAAGAAGGAGCATAAGCTCCATACTGAAAATTAACACTTAGAAACAAGCCAGCGCTTTGACAGTAAATCCAGTGCAAATGTCTCCCACATCTTAATTACCTCCTCGCACACACATATGCACTCCAACCCAGTTAAAACCATTCATCTGCCTGTGATAGAAAAAAATTTATAAATTAGAATTTGCCTCCCTTCTCAATAAACACCCTGATGCATGCAGAATTGAAGTGAAGTCGTAAGGTGCAGGATGTCATCCACTCGGGATTCAGCACATTTGCACAATCTCATCCTGCGTCTTGGAGTGTCAGCACACACCTAGGCTCGGTGTGACTGCATCAATCATACAAAATAAAATGTGAAATCTCTAAACCAATACCATATTAAATAATGCTAGATTTAAAAAGGAATCACAGGCATGCACACACAAAATAGCTTAAATACTGAGACAGTTGAAACTGTCAAATAAAACTGTCAAAGTGGCAAATAAAAATATGTTGAAAAAGCAGCATTGCCTAAAGAAAACGTGCATGTCTACTTATGCTAAAAAGTTGCAGGTTCAGACAATTTAAGTTGCCTAAAATCTCTTAAGATTGTAACTATTTGCATCTTAGATGTCGAATGGGAGTAGAAGTTTAAGTTGGAACGCTTAAGCAGAAAGTGTCAGTTAAGGCTGAAGCACCGAAAGATTTTGAAGGGTTTTTTTTGTGTAAGAGCCAAAAGCAGGAGAAATCAGTTGAAGTGCACTGGTGCCAAGCTTTTTTGTGGAAACATGATAGATGAAAGCACTTAGCTGAATTATAAAGAACTACAGCATCTGATATCAGCTGAAAGTGAAGTGCCAGAGACACCATAACTTTAAACAGCTGAAGTGTCTGCTCGTATGTAAGAAATAACTGCAGTTGAAATGGCCATTGTTGAGTTGTCAGTTATAGTGATGAATTGAGCTGGTAGTGTTGCTTGAAGCAGAAGTCCTGAAAGAAATGAGTTCCAGTGTATGAACTGAAAGATGATCTCAGCAGCAGGGTGAGTACTAAAAACAGTTGGAGAAAACTGTCTTAAAAGTTGTGTATGTAAGAAGAGCTGAAGGGTTTTTGTTTTTGTTCAAGGGACCAGAGACGTGGAAGTAAGTTTTCAAATTATAAGTAGGAGTTGAAATGGAAGTAGAAGACAAAGAGGTGAAAGCAGTTCACATAAATGTGTGAAAGCAGCTGAGTTGCCATTTAAAAAAAACTCAACGATGAAAACAGCTGAAGAGCAACACACGAATGCAGTTGGAAGTGTCAGCCGACATTTAAATTGTAAGCTTACTTTTTTAAAATTTCATTTGAGATGAAAGCACTGAAGACAGTTAACATGTGTGCAATGTGTGTAGATGAACCACAAGACCTGAAAGGACCTGAAAGAGGGTGCACTGTCCTATAAAGCTTAGAATATACATGCATTTTAATCCAAAGACAAAAAAGCTGATCAAAATGGCTCTGGGTATCTAAGTGAGTTGCCTACCTAGAAAAAAAAATCTTGTGATAGTATTAAACAATTATTTTGAGTGTTTTAATCTGATATAATGCTGGAAGTGAGAACCACTCTAGGTCGTGTATTCTAGTTAAGACACTAATAAGACGGTACACTCTTATTTCTAGGTGTATTAGTGGAACAGTTTCATCTCTCACCTGACTAGATAGCTCTTAAGCGAGCCGCCGTATGTGATGACAAGCAGTTCAGCTGACCACTGAGCGCTGGCTGTGTACTCCAGGAAGATCAGACCCGCCACTGCACAACTGAAATCCCCAGGAAAACTCACAACCTGGATGAAGAGGAAGTGATAACAAAGAAAAGTAAGCTGCAGTGTCAAAGTGGGGACTGATGAAAATGGTAGAGGAAATCAAAAACATGGATAATTATGCATGTGTCTCTTTCATTTGGCTTTTTTATAATCTTCCACAGAAATAAGAGGAAGTCAACAGTTTGGGCACTTTACAGTGGCAAACAAGAGGAACAGTACAGCAGAGTAGGGGGTGCAGGTGTAAGTGTGCAGACACACACTACAGATGCATAACAAAGGCGAGGTGCACTAAAGGAACGTGGATAACAGACTTCGAAAGATGAGTGAGGTTGGAGTGGATAGAAGAATGAAAAGAATAATGGATGGAAATGAAGGAATGACAATATGTGCCACACAGGGGGCATTAAAGTGGGAGGGAATGACAGGTGGATTTGGAAATGGCAGTTTAAGGAAAGATACTGAGCATCAGTTATGCAAGGATGAAAGAAATGCTGAGGGGAAAGAAGGAAGGGAGGACCAGGGGAAGACAGAGAGCAGCAGGCATGTGAAAAATTAAAGAGAGGAGAAAAGAGTAATGGGACACCATGAACAAAGAGGAGAAAAGAAAAAGCAACAGACAGTGAATTACAAAGCAAGCGAGAGAGAGCACAGGGAGTGCCTAACAAGGAGATGTTTTCTTTAAAAGTGACAGGCAACTCAAAGTGCCCAGTATAAATGTGCAGCACTGAAACTGGAGAGCATGGCCCAAATTACTTTCTCTGGGTGTCTGAATCCTCAATAACTGTGTCACTAAAATGTTACAAACACAGTCAAATCTGCTGCCCCATAGTACCACTTCTGTGAGACAGCAAAATAATGGAGACTGTACTGAAGAGAAGCCAAAGAGATACACAAATATAGCTTGGAGGGGGAAAGGGGCTGCTTGATGACGTCAAAGCCCAGGGACTGGCGTGATTACCGGCGGGATGACAAAGAGTTCGCTGCCTATGAGGTCAAACAGGCGCACGGTGCCAGTGCTGTCGGCGTAGGCCAGCAGGGTGCAGTCATGGCTCCATGCCACCCTTCGCCACTGGGGGTTTGGGTCTTTTGGCACTGTAACAGATGAAAAAAGACAACTTGAAAGCTCATACAAACAGTGAGATTGACAAGAAATTCAATGGAAAAACTATGAATAATCCCTGTTGCTTGATGACCTGCTGATGAGGAACACAGATGAGAGAGTGTTAGGTATTTTTAGTCAGATAGATATTGGATAGATACTTTATGTATTAGAAATGTTTAGTGGAGATAGGATGTCTAGTTAGACTGTTAAATGCTTAGTCATGCTTATGAGTTTCTACAGGGTACATCTGGTCAAGGATAACTAGAGAGAAGAGTTGATGACTGTCAGCAGACAGGATGTTTAATATTATTATTATGATGTGTATAACTGTAGCCTTAGCCATAATATGTTCTTATGTTTAAGTCACAACATGTACTAGAGGTCATGAGAATGTTTTTAGTTACACACCACTTAATCAACAGACACACACACATTGATTTGCTTCATGTTTTGACTCCTGCTATGACCAGCTGCAAAGCTGGCAACAGAGACATCTCGGTTGACGTTTCTGTGTAGTATGGGGCTAGCCCAACCGAGGTGCTATAATGTATAGGCCTGGTGGGTTCAGGGTCTTTCATCTTACATCTGCCTGCGTGCAGTTTGGAGGTGGAAGATACCTGAGCGTGTAATGTTAATTTTACCTGTGATCCTTTGAATAAATCAGCACTGTATTGAAGTTACTTGGACTGCCTCGTCTCTCAGAGTTAGCAATGGTAACAAGAACCACAGTCCTTCAGAGAGGAAGGGTAAAGCTAATGCCATACATCAACACAGTATGTCTAAGGACCTATTGTATCTAATTTCTCTATGAAGGATAGCTAGATTAATACATCTCAATAACAGTCTCTCAGAACGACGCAGATACACTTTCATGTGATGAGCATGGGGGAGAAGGGTGTAGTGAGTAAAAGAGAGGCAGAGAGAAAAGGGTGAGGAGAACTGAGATCATAAATCCAGTTTTTATTGAACTATAGGCAAGTGTTTCACCGATCTGCTAGCTCAGCAGCACTGTGAGTGTAACCATGTCACTGTGACAAAGCACACTCCTGCCTCCTGGCACTGTCATATTTCCCTCTAATAGAAGAGTTGGGGCAGTCTGGCAGGCCTCTGATCCCAAATCAGCTTTGAATCCCTGATTATCATATGGCCTATTAAATCTTATTAGGGTAAAGGGATAGGACTTCATCTGTATAAACAGGTGCACAATCTCAATGTGTAAGCTGAGTAGAATGTTTAAGTATAAAAAGACCTAGATATAATTTATTACTGGCTGAGATTGTTGCATTTGGAGAACAGCGTGAGACTATGCCACCACCGGTGCCGTGTCTGCTAAGCAATAAAGTTATGAAAAGGGAGTTATGCTTTTGTTGATATCACATAACAGCACTATTGGTGTTTATTATATTGAATTTGTTGGCTGAGGAATGCTGCTGCAAACCCTGGTGGGCAATACTGCAAACGAATGGAGGCGTTGGATATTGTATGACTAGAATTTTAAATGAAGAACAAAGGGGAGACGTGGGAGGCGAGACAGACAAAGGGGGCGAGAGAACAAGAGAAAGGCAGGCGCTGAAAGAGAGAGCGAGAAATGACTCCGGCACCCACTGAGAGAAATAATAGCTCCCCAAACTTTAAGGCCTAAGTATCAGAGAGCACCTCAGGAAGTAGGTGATTTAACACACCTTTGAGACTCTGGGCTGAGGAGGAGCAGATAAGAACACGGAGCCATTATGAGCGCTATAGGTACCAAGTGTGTCCTCTGTTCTCTTCTTGTTATGGGGGCTCTTTTGCTTCCTGTTTCAATCTTTTTTTCTATTTTACTCTCATACAGCCTTTCTTGCTATCTCGCCTCCCATTATGAATTGTATACAATATGTTGTTCTGTAGCTGAGAGGGCTCCATTTCCACATAGATGGCTTTTTGGGGGAGCTAGAAAATTAAATGCTAGTGTCCTGTTTTTTTTTTGTTTTTTTTCCTGGGGATGGTGGGGGCAGAAGTTGACCCAATAGAAGCTTTCTATCTGAAGCCTCGCAGATACATTTATCAGAGCTCAACACTTATGAATTATGTACAGGGGGTGGGAGACAACTCCACTGTAACAGGAGCAGATGGGGAGGGAGGGGGGAACTAGAAAGAGAGGGAGAGTGATACAGACACCACTAGGCACACACTGGGATGCATACACACAAGTGTATGCAGGGGCATAAAAAGGGTAATGCGCACACACACACACACACGGTCTTCCATTAAAAGCAAATGCCATTAAAGGCAGGATCACAGCTAAATCCATTAGGAGAAATCTCCGTGAAATGAAATGAAGTAAAAGTAAAATGAAAAGAAGAGATGAAATAGAATGAAAAAAGGAGAGAGGCTGGGGTTTACATAGGCCCAGGGGCTACTGTTATCCACACTATAAACCATTAGAACAACAATCCACAATGGCAGCTACCCAGAGCCGAACAAATATAGTTTGAGAGAACGAGAAAGAGAGAGAGAAGGGGCGGGAAAATGACAAAAATGACAAAAAAATAAATAAAAGGAAAGAAAGGCGGGCAAAGACTGGGGATAGAATATACTGACAAACCACACGAGTTTCATTACAGAGCTTACACCGTGTTCTTGCTCTGTTTTTGTGATGTGTTTTGGGCATTGTGTGTGTGTGTGTGCGTGAGCAAGTATATGTGCAATTCATAGGAACACACTTGCATTTTTTGAGAAAAGTTATTTATTATGACTTTTTGTGTTAACTTCCTCACATGACTTCTTTCTGACTGTTCAGTCAATCCTGTATTGTAACTATTGCTTTCAGCTCATTTGCATATTATCAGATGTTAGACCTGTGGAGGGAGACTGTACCGTATCATTAGCGGCGCCGTCTGACACAGTGTCTTCTTGTCATGATTACATACTGTGTGTCCAGTGTTCTCTCCTGTTAGATATGGTTTGGTCTCCACCAACTCCTGGGGAGAATATCTGGCTCTTTAGCTTCCTACAGGTTGCCAACTTTGGCTTTCTATTGTTTCATGTTAGGCAGATAATGTACTATGATTTTATCAGAACGTTTTGCAGAAAACAGCTGCCTGCTGCTGTTACAGTCTGCAAACTAAGACAGTGTGCTGAAAGATGTTCTGCTCTGCAGAACTGAGGGGAGCTGCGGAGTTGGATAATAATTCACTAAGGATTAATTACCACGAACAACCACTTTTACATTACACATGACAATTTGTTCCACTCCGGCTTTCAGTTAAAAAAAAAAGACTGCATCAATAAGAAGCATGCAAATGTATTTAACTATCATGTTTAAAACTTCTGAACTTCGAGAAAGTTTGGGATTTTCCATGTCTAGATAAAACACAGAAGGCAAGTTTAATAGCTAATCCAACAAGCAAGGCCATTTATTTCTATCAGCCGGTCTGAGAGAGCGTTTAATGAGTGGGTGATTATCTGTGTTGCCATTCAAAATCTCTCACACATTCCTATTAGCCGCTGTGGTCGATAGGTCTGTTTGAAACAAATTTAAAGTAGTTGTGTAGAAACACAGGCATGCACACACAGACCCTCTCTCTCACACACACACACACACACATAACTACAGATCATGTAAATTGAGAGAGGTTACCGGTCAAATGTGGGCTGCACTTTTGAGAGTTGCAACTACTGAGATGACAGGACAAGGAACTCTGTGTCTTTTTTTCCCTACTCACTATATAAACTCTCACTACTGTAGTTAATTCTGTAGTGATGAGTTCTCATCATAGTATGTCAGCACTCGCAGGTACAGGAGACAGCATTTGTTTTTTTTTTTACAAATGTAACACTCACCATTTAAACACTAAAAATAAAATGGTGGGCAGCAATTAAAGCGCACTACAGAGTAAATAAGGGGTGATTTGAGCCACGGTCTTCATCTCTTTCTCTTCTATGGTCAGACCAAAGACAGCCCTCCACATCTGGCTGAAGAATGGTATTGCATTGTAATCTACTTAGGATTCTGCAACACTTATGTGAAGTTGTATTTGTAATTTGAAAGTAAGTTTAAAAATATATACAACATCTGTAAAGACTTTTATCTGGATTTTATTATATACTGTAGATAATATATGTTTTTGCCAGTATTTGCAATATTGTATTAAATACTGATAATGGAAACACGCAAATTAGTGACAAATCATTTATTCAGGATTCTCCTATAATGTGTGTCCCCCGCCTGTATATTTCTATGCAATAATGTTCAACTAGCCCAAATTGTCCTGGTTTGTATTCTATTTATACACAATCTGTCAAAATCTGTTCGGTGAGGCGAGTTGTGGGGATTTACTGTGAAGCACAGTATGCGATTGATAAAACAAGTGGAGAGGGTCTTACCCTGGCACTTCCCAATGACTGATCCAAAGTCATCTCTCACAGACCTGAGAAACAAACACACACACACACAGAATTAAGTGGAAAAAGTAGTGGCCCTGAAAAGCATGACAAGGATACACATACACACACCTCACCTGATACGATGTGGCATAAGGTGGGTTGTAACAACTACTGATTGCCTGCCAACTAAAGTAGCTCAATGGATCATGCAGACAGGCGCTTGAGAGTAGGCAGTGTTTAGACAGACTTTTAACAGAGCTCAGTGAATGAGTCCTTGAGCTGACATAACACCCACTCACACCAACTAAGGCTATAAAACACTATATGATTAAACAACAGTAGTGTGAAGCAAGGACACAGGAGAAGCCCGCAATATCAAGCTGAGGCATCAGTGGAGAGACTTGACTGCTCTGGATTACAATGGGTCAAACACAACACAATTCTGGGCGAAGCCATCAACTGCTTTAACATATTGATGTGTGCATGAAAATGACTTCCAATTACACAAAACGTAAAGTGTCTAGAAGGGCCAAGGCCCAACAATAGTTGAAAATGTTTTGTGTTCGCCTCTGGAGATCAAGACATATCTGTATACCTGGTTCATTACTATTGATTTTCATTTCAATTTTGCTCGCTTTAAAACATTACACTGTGTCAATAGAGCACATTGCTGAGTGAGTACATTTTCCCTGTGTAAGGGGAAATTGGATTTGTGTCTGAAAATAATTACATCCACTCAAATTGAGCACAAACATAGTCAGGGATGCTTTGGTCTCTTTCTCTCACACCGTCACATTTAGAGAAAACATTTGGAGGCCAGAGGTTTGTTTTTTTTTCCTCAAAACGTTAGTGTTAATTTTCTTTTGCCTGAAGTACCAAATCAGTGCCACAAAAGGGAGCCTGTGCTAAATTGGCTCAAAATTTTACTCTGACTGATTCAGTTCTTACTGGCTGTATTGAAACATCTTCATTCTTTATAATATAAGCTGAGACCACAGCTCTTTCTTTTAGGCAGATGGGATAAATCACCCCATTAATTAAAATGCTCTCAATCACTCACAAACAGAGTGCCTCAAACAGCGGGAGTGCAGTAATTACCTAATCTCCACACACTGGTCCTGAACCACTGCCAAGAGTTTGCCATTACTGTGGAGAAAAACAAGAGAGTGCTCAGGAATTAAGAGAAAAAAAAGAAATAAGAGAGAGTACAAAGAGAGCAGAAGGTGAGAGGAACAAATAGGGGGGATAATTAACCATGTCATTATGAATAATATAAATCAGAGTGGGAGATGCTGATTAAGGAAGATGACACAGTGGCAATGAACAAAACAGTTTTTGTGTGTAGGGAGAGTGTGTGTAGCCGAGCAGTTGGACTGGAATAAAGAGAACAATAATTCGGAGCATTAAACAGAGCAAAGATAGTTTCAGAGGGAATGAAATGAGAAAGAAAGATTTAAGAGCAGACAGAAGTAAAATGGAAGGATCAAGCACATCAAACTAATGGACAGCTGCAGCATCAATTGACCACACTTAACACTGTCTTACATGGTTGAATCAATAGTCAATTAAAAACGGCCTTTTCACTTGATTTGTCTGTTGTAATGAATATATTTAAAGGATTTGTTGAGGGGATCTGCAAAAGGAGGGAAAACCTGAAGAGGGGAAGGTTCAGCGCATGTCAACAGCAAAGTAGCACATATTCAGGTATTGATCACAAAAAGAGTGTGTGTGTCTGTGTGTATGTTTGTGTGTGTGTGTGTGTGTAAGTTTGCACCTTGCAAGCACCAGCTGCCAGTTGATTTGTTTGTTTGCCAGGCGGACAAGACCAGGGGGCAGAGATGAGGTGGACGGGCTGAGGTTCAGAGAGTACCACAAAAAAATAAATAAATTTGAAATGTAACATATTTAAAATGGTTGATGTCTCTTAAACAGGAGCCAGGTTTACAAGGTTTCTTACCTGGTAGTCCTCTTAAACCACACTAAAAGTTTCTAGCAAAGAGCTTCCTCAACAAAACATCATCAAATAAAATTTTAAATGTACTTAATTTAATAACAAGTCAGTTTAGCTACAGCACATTTACAATGTCCGCCTGAGTATGCTAATAACATTGTGGGCAATCTCACAGTAGTTATGGGTTTTATTCTACTGTAATTTAATTTGGGGAAATGTTAAAAAAAATTCTCCCTTTGTTTTTCTCCACTCCTTTACAGTTAATATTCGAGTTCAGCGGATACCAGTGAAGTAGCCAAGATGTCTGTTTTGGACACAAATTGACATTATCGTTACAACAAAACTACCAGAAACGCCTGCTATCCCCCTTGCACAAATGAAAATATCACAGCATATGGAAGCCCGCCTGCCTGCTCCATTACGTCAAATAAAACTCAGGGATCTTTATCATCCACTAAAAGAGAAGGAGAGCTGAAAAACAAGCAAGGCTAGAGGAGCTCTTAAATACTTAATGAGGTTATTGATGGTGCTAGCTAACCACCTGCTGAGCGGATAAGTAGGCCTTGATGCTAGAGAGCATTACAGAATCCACTGCAGGCCACATCCAGCCATCTGTTCACACAGTCCATCAGATACTGTGCAGCAGGAACAGGGTGAACACAGAATCTATTTTCAGATTCAGATTGATTTTATAAAAGCCTCAACAATATACATTTTGAAAAGAGGACTGTTTCTGTGAGACTTGGGGGGATATGTGCTAGCCATACACAGTATTAAAAAGCCAGTTATGTTTAAATGTTGATTTCATCAAATGTGTATATTAAGCCACACACTACTGTTTAAAAAGATCAAACTAATAACAATCACTTTGTAACACCGCTTTTTAATGCATGTTAGCCCAATTACATCAGCTAAAGAATGGCACGCCATGTGAAAATTTGAAGAGATGAGCCTACCTGTACCACAAGTAGTGCAGGATTAAGCGGAATGGACCTGTAAGAAATCCATCAGTTAGTAATTAAAGTAAATGTATGATAATATCTTAAAGAATTAGCATAAGAGCATTATTAATGAAGCGGGTGGGAGAATTAGTGTCTTGCTCAAGGACACAGAGGACCTGCAAATCAGTCTCTTTACCCAGATTCATGCAAAAGTAGTCTAACACTGTAGCACCACTTAATACCAATAACAGTTCATCGGTGTTTCGGGCAACTTCCTATTTAAGGGTGGAAAAATATCTCTTTTCTTCAATAAATAAATGGACTGCTATAATAGTCATGCTTACAGTGACAGGGAAAACCTCCATATCTGGTGGAGCAATACAGGTTTTCTTTTTATGCATGCTGAGCTGTCTATGAGTTCTTTCTTCAATACAGATTGGGGTATGTTACCTATCCTACAACACACACACATAATAAAACCCTAACTTCAGTCAGGAGTCTGCCACTGCCAGTCCTGCACAGACCTTTCCTTCAAGGCATAGTCCTAATAGCCACGGTTGTCTTGTGCTTTTGCTGTGAAATAAATATCCACAGAAAAACACCTATACAGAACAGCTTACTTCCCAGCAACTGGCAATGTTGCTTACTACCAACTCTTCCCTTTTTGCTAGTGAAATGATGAAGTGTTGCATAAGTTGACGGCTGAATTTAAGAGTGATCACAAACTATTTGGAAAAGGTTATTGCCATGGTCAGGTGCTGAACACACCTTCTGTGGAGTAAAATGCCCATTTTCAGGACGGTATAGTATCACAACTTCTTTTCTCCAAAAAGTAGCACTTACCTGTCACCGCCCTTGCAATAAGTGAACTGCTGTGCTCCTTGCTGCCTCTCAACTGTAAATGATAGAAAGTCATAGGTGAGGGTATCACTCATCTAACGTTATGTTCTCAAAAAAGGTTGTGTGCATTTAATCAGTTCTTAATAACTGAAAACGAATATCAAATTAAAGTATCTAATGTCACCCTGTGCAAGAGGACTTACAGTAATGTGTAATTAGTAAGGCCAGCTACCGTAAATAGGGCGAATAGTTTTCTAAATGAAAACAACTAGTTTATTTCTGCGGACAATTGTGCAAGATAAAAGCAACACCACGCTGCAACGTGATATGACAATGCAAATTCAGATGTTTAGTAAAATAACAGTAGCGATGTTTGTGCTGCGTGGCATTGCGTGGATGATCCCATGAAAGTGAGGAGTTGACTTTGGTTCGCCATTTTTTTCAAATAAATGTTAGACACAAGACCCACTCCGTGGATTTTAAATGAACAGAAGTGGAAGTCTGACTAACCTGAGTGTCCGTCTCTGGCGGCCATTCAGTAATAACCAGTAAATCGTATAAAATGTTTTCATCTTCACTTTCAATCAAGCTTTCTTCAGCCATGTTTACTTGAACCAGCTGTCAAAAGTCTACGGCGTCTTCCACGGGACAAAATATTGAGTTTGTAAAGTAATGCGAAACTCTCAGAAAATGCCGTTTTATGACTCGAAAGGCATATTATAACACAATTATCACATCTAAATGTGTGTTTTGTTTATTTTATATGTATGTTGTATATTTAAAATAATTTCTAAGAGTATTCGCAACCCGGAACCAATTATATGAGGCTACTAGTTCAGTCCGCCGCTGAACACGTTGTATATCCGGTTGGGTTGCAGTCGTAGCAATAATGGCAGCGTTTTCTGGTAAGAATGTTATATTAATATTAACATGCTTACATTACAACTGTAATTTTCTTCGACACCAGACCATCTTTAATACCTAGGTATATATGCGTACCGAATTATTAAATATATTCTTTTTAAACAGAAATGGGGGTTATGCCTGAAATTGCGCAGGCTGTGGAAGAGATGGACTGGCTGTAAGTCTTAATAAACCTCATATTAGGCCACCTGCTTGATGTGCACATCGATATTGCTCAGTCATGCCAGTATCGTTATTTCTGTCAGTCCACTATATTGTTACATATAGCTGTAAGTCCACCAGTTGACACTGAGCCGATTTAATTCATTGGATTTCAGGCTGCCTACTGACATCCAGGCAGAGTCTGTTCCCCTCATTCTTGGTGGAGGAGATGTGCTTATGGTAAGCTTGACTTTGTCTGTTCGTCTCACACACAAACTCCACTTCAAGTGTTACATCTTATTTTCTTTTTTGTAGGCAGCAGAAACTGGAAGTGGTAAAACAGGAGTAAGTACTTTCCTGCTGCACAATTTTAAAATACAATGTTATGTCTGCAGATTGGTTAAATTTTGTTTTTAATTCACATTTCAACATCAGGCCAAGTAGCATTAAAACACTAAAATATAATATTTGTCACATTTAGGCCTTCAGTATCCCACTGATCCAGATTGTGTATGAGACACTGAAGGATCAGCAGGAGGGCAAGAAGGGAAGGGCCTCTATCAAAACTGGAGGAGCTAGTGAGACTACTTTAATATGTGTGGTTGATATGCCAGCTAAAATATACACATTACATTTTATAGACCTGTCTCTAGTCTATGTGATCTTCTGAGGCCATTTTAATGCAAGCAAATATGATGTAGATGCAGATGTTTGACTTGCTCTCTTTCTTTGTTTTGTCTCAGTTTTCAACAATTGGCAGATGAATCCTTATGACCGTAGTCCAGCCTTTGGTAAGAAGAGAAAAATAAGCATGTAATGATGCATTCATGCACTAGAGGATAGTTTAAGTACAACAGTACATATTCCAGCTTTGTTCTTTGTTACCTCTTCTTATTTTCAATTTTTGTTGTTATCTATACAGCAATTGGTCCAGATGGAATGTCCTGCCAGAGCAGGGAGTTTAAAGAGTGGCATGGCTGTCGGTCTACTAAAGGTGTCACTAAAGGTGTGTAATGGATAATAAATAAATAAAAACTATTTGGATTTAAACTGAGCTGCATTTCATAGGCAACCAAAATTTCTCTGGCAGTGTAAAAAAAAAAAAAAAGAAGGTATGTTCTATGTCAAATTCAAATTTTATTTGTATAGCGCCAAATCACAACAAAAGTCATCTCAGGACGCTTTACAAAGTAAGGTCTAGACCTTACTGTTATCAATATTATTACAAAGGGGAAAACCCAACAAATCCCCCTTGAGCAAGCACTTGAAAACACTGGGGAGGAAAAAGTCCCTTTAACAGAAGAAACCTCCAACAGACCCCGGCTCTTGGTGGGCGGCTTTCTGCCTCGACCGCTTGGGGTGAGTGGATAGAGGAGAGAGAAAAGAAGAAAAGCAACAAGACACAACAATCAACCACTGATCAGGTCGATGTGGCTGGTGACTGCTTGTCAGAGACATAGAGCTCCAGGGCCAGGGCAACCTGCAGAAAGGTACAGGGAGAGAGAGAGGACACACTTCATGGGGCCCCCCAGCAGCCTAGGCCTATAGCAGCATAACTAAGGGAAGGCTCAGGGTCACCTGATCCAGCCCTAACTATAAGCTTTATCAAAAAGGAACGTCTTAAGTCTAATCTTAAAGGTAGAGAGGGTGTCTGCCTCCCGAACTGAGACTGGGAGTTGATTCCATAGGTTAGGAGCTTGATAGCTAAAGGCCCTGCCTCCCATTTACTTTTGTGGATTCTAGGAACCACAAGTAAACTTGCACTCTTGAGAGCGAAGCACTCTGTTGGGATGAGGCTCTACGAGTTCTTTAAGATATGATGGAGCCTTGTCATTAAGGGCTATGTTGTTGCAAAAGTGACTTATCCGTGTCCATGTCTTTCTGTGTCCAGGGAAGTACTATTATGAGGTGACCTGCCATGATCAGGGTCTGTGTCGAATTGGCTGGTCCACCAGTCAGGCAGCACTAGACTTGGGTATGTACTTCAACACTTCAGTCTCCATTTTGCAAAACATATAATGTCTAAAATAAACTTCAATATAGCAATAATTAAATTCTGACCTTGTTTTTCTTCTTCTTTGCAGGAACTGATAAGTACGGCTTTGGTTTTGGGGGGACTGGAAAGAAATCCAACAACAAGCAATTTGACAGCTATGGCGAGGTAACGACAAGTAACTTTGGTATTTAGATATGTAAACAACTGAGGATCATTTCAAAAAAACTTTGTTATGCGGTTTCTTTGCAGGAATTTACCATGCATGATACTATTGGATGCTACTTGGATCTAGACAAGGGCCAAATTTCCTTCTCCAAAAATGGTGCAGTCTCAATAGTTAGTTTTTATTATCATGTAAGACATTTGGGGTTGATGGTAAATATGAGAGTTTCTTATGTTTCTTTGCCACCTTTCTCTTTTACTTCTTCCAGGCAATGACCTTGGTTTGGCTTTTGAGATCCCTCAAAATATGAGGAATCAGCCTTTCTTTGCCTCCTGTGTGCTCAAGGTAACACTAGAGAACAACAACTGTAGAAACAAACTACCAGGTGGATTTACACCATACCTATTGCTCTTCTGGTTATTTGTTTTTCAGAATGCAGAGCTGAAGTTCAACTTTGGAGCAGAAGGGTTTAAACATCCACCTAAACCTGAGTTTGTTGCCCTGGATCAAGCATCAGACGGTCACACAGTCAAATCTTCACAGACAGGTGTGTCTCATTTCAGGTGCAGAGAAGAATCTCTATGTTACAGTTATAAAAACATAATTTGGTGTTAATCCCAAGTTCAACTTTGATAATGTAGTTATACATTTCACAATAAATTCCCACCTTTTATTTGAATTTTTCTTTAATGGGTACAAAATCTTCTTTTGACTTTAAAAGACCACCAAATATTTTTTTCTGATTAATTCCTTTGCTGTCTCCTCTTTCTGTTCAGGCAGTGCTAAAGTCAGTCAGGTGAAAGCATCATCCAACGCACCCAAAGCCCTGATCATCGAACCATCTAAGGAATTAGCTGAGCAAACTCTGAACAATGTTAAGCAATTTAAGAAATATGTGGACAACCCCAAACTCAGGCAGGTTACCCTGAGTGCACTTTGACACTGGCATAAAGTGTTACCTTGCTGAAAATTAAAGAATGTGTGGGCACTTTTGAAAATGAGTGAGCCATGTCATATGCCATGTTCCTGTGATATATTCAAGTGTTGCTAATGTGCTGTATTTGCGTGCATTTCCCTGTGTATTTGTAATTCCAATTTGAGACCAGCAGATGGAACCAGTGCTCAAGTAAAAATGTAGTCATCAGTGTATAATCTGTTCTTCTTGCCACTGCAGGGAGTTGCTGGTGATTGGTGGTGTGCCTGCCAAAGAGCAGCTGTCTGCCCTGGAACAGGGGGTATGTGATATTTAATGTCTCATACAAATACTCACTTTATTTTTAGTAACTGTTAAACACAGAATCCATTCAGTTTTTACTAACAAACTTTTTATTTTCCTTTCTTTTTTGCACTATGTTGCTCCCTGTTCATTGTTTCTACCTCCTGTGTGTCATCTTTGTCTTGTGTTTCATCAGGTTGACATTGTGGTGGGAACACCGGGCAGACTGGATGACCTTGTATCCACTGGGAAATTCAGCCTGTCCCAAGTTCGCTTTCTGGTCCTGGATGAGTGTGTATGTTCAACACATGCAATTTAAAAACTCTTAGGTCCTGTTACATCAGAAGCACAAATTGTGTGGAGTCTAAAACATGCAAACACTGATTATAAGTGGATCATTTATATAGCATAACTACCCCTGTTACCACTAACAATTTGTTCGGATTCTCTGTCTTCAGGATGGCCTCTTGACAGCAGGTTATACAGACTTTATCAATAGGATCCATAACCAAATCCCACAGGTCACCTCTGATGGCAAGAGACTGCAGGTAATGCTTAAGTTATATGTGACAATGACCATTTAATGGCATCAACTTAAGAATGTTTTAAACAGCAATGTGTGCAACAATACAATACCCTTTTAAAATAACAATTAGTCAAATGATGTCCATGCATGTCAACTTATAATGGCATTGTTGTGTTTTGCTCAATAAATCCAAACTTTAGTTTGGTTGTGTATCATGTAACTCCAGAACATTAGTAGTTATTTATGAGCCCCACACCTTGTTGACCCAGATGAAAGTGATTTAATGAAGATGTGCAACAGTAGATCTCCCTTTTTATCCCCAGGTGATTGTGTGCTCTGCCACTCTGCATTCATTTGATGTGAAGAAACTTTCAGAGCGCATCATGCACTTTCCCACATGGGTGGACCTGAAGGGCGAAGACTCAGTTCCAGAGACTGTCCATCATGTGGTGGTGCCTGTCAATCCAAAGATAGACCGTCTCTGGGAGCGTCTGGGCAAGAACCGCATCCAGGTGAGTTCTGCATGCTGGGCAAAGGACATGCAAATTAGGGAAAGGAGTATTCACGTCTTCCAATGAGGAAGCAGAGGCCGGGAGCTCGGAGGTGGACTCGTCCATCACCCAAGCTGAAGTCACCGAGGTAGTTGAGAAGCTTCTTGGTGGAAAGGTACCTTAAGTCTCTGGATGCTGTGGGGCTGTCTTGGCTGACACGCTTTTGCAACATCGTGTGGCGGATGGGGACAGCGGCTCTGGATTGGCAAACCGGAGTGGTGGTCCCTCTTTTCAAGAAAGGGGACCGGAGGATGTGCTCCAACTATAGGGGGATCACACTCCTCAGCCTCCCCGGGAAAGTCTATGCCAGGTTACTGGAGAGGAGAATTCGACCAATAGTTGAACTTCGGATTCAGGAGGAACAATGCGGTTTTCGTCCTGGCTGCGGAACACTGGACCAGCTCTATACCCTCTCAGGGTGGTGGAGTGCTCATGGGAGTTTGCCGAACCAGTCCACATGTGTTTTGTGTATTTGGAGAAAGCATTCAACCGTGTCCCTCGTGGCTCCCTGTGGAGGGTGCTCTGGGAGTATGAGGTCCGGGGCCCTCTATTGAGGGCCGTCCAGTCGCTGCTTTTAGTTTGGATAAGTGGACTGGGCAGTGGGGCACATGCTTGTAGGTAAATGGAGGAAAGAAAAAAAGGCAGTAAATTCAGTGACCTCTCTGTCCCTCTCTTGCTCTAACAGATGATATGAGATGGGCCTTGGTCTCCGAGTGACATATTTATTGCTTGCTATCTCAAGAAGAAGGCCAGGCAAGACAAAACACAACTGCATGTCCATACACACACCAATGTAAAACAGAATGCATTAAATCTATCATTATATACTTTTCATATATACAAGAATGTCAAATCTAATTACTAAAACACACCCAAGTCCGAGGCCATGGTTCTCATTCATTAAAGGGTGGCTTGTTCCCTTCAGGTTGGTGGAGAGTTCCTGCCTCAAGTGGAGGAGTTCAAGTATCTTGGGGTCTTGTTCACGAGTGAGGGAAGGATGGAACGGTGGTCATGAACTTTGGGTCATGACCGAAAGGGCAAGATCCCGGATACAGGTGGCTAAAATGAGCCTTCTCCGCAGGGTGGCTGGGCACACCCTTAGAAATAGGGTGAGGAGCTCAGAGTAAAACCGCTGCTCCTCTACATCGAGAGGAGTCAGCTGAGGTGGCTCGGGCATCTGTTTCGGATGCCTCCTGGGCACCTTCCTGGGGAGTTCCGGGCGTGTCCCACCAGGAGGAGGCCCCAGGGAAGACCCAAGACACGCTGGAGGGACTATGTCTCTCCGCTGGCCTGGGAACGCCTCGGTATCCCCCCGGATGAGCTGGAGGAAGTGTCTAGGGAGACTGGGCATCTCTGCTTAGACTGCTGGACCCGTTCTCGGTTCCGGATAAGCGGAGGAAGATGGATGGGTATTCATATCACAAGCGCATTGTGTTCATAAATGTAGCTACTGCATCTTTCAAACTCAGTTGAAAGAATATATCCCTTTTTCAAGGCTTGTAGGTTCCTGTAATGCTGATTTTAGATTGTGTTAGCTGAGCTTGTCTTCTTTGACCTGTTTGTCTCCTCACAGACCGATGAAGTCCATGCCAAAGACAACACCAGACCAGGAGCCAATTCTGCAGGCAAGAGCAGATAAGCAGCAGATTTTTACTTTTTTCTTTTCGTATAACTTCTCAAATCCAGTCTGTTGAGCATCTTTTTGAATCAGATTTTTTTTTAAAAGACATGGATGTTAAATTGGCTTTTTCCTTACATCTATAGTAATGAAGGTCTCAATAACCAAAAAAAGTGTATGTGTGTACTTCAGAAATGTGGTCAGAAGCTATCAAGGTGCTGAAGGGCGAGTACACAGTGAGGGCCATCAAAGAGCACAAAATGGATCAGGCCATAATTTTCTGTCGCACCAAGATCGACTGTGACAACATGGAACAGTACTTCATCCAGCAAGGAGGAGGTAGGACACATCAGTGCTGTTTAGATTATACATCTCAGCTGTCAAAAGACAGAAGCTTTTGAAGTGGGAACATCCCATTGCATACACAGATATAGGAGTATAAGAATCTATTTGAGAACTTTTCCTGTGCCAAATTCAGAATCTTTGCTCAATATTGGTCTCTTTACTTTAGGCCCTGACAGCAAAGGCCACCAGTTATCTTGTGTTTGTCTCCATGGTGATCGTAAGCCCAATGAACGAAAAAATAACTTGGAGCGTTTCAAGGTAAAAGAACAAAAACTTGGTGGTGCTCTTTGACAAAGTATAACCAGTTATCCAGTATTTTACAATCTCCTTGTTTTTGCAGAGAAAGGAAGTGAGACTTTTGATCTGCACAGACGTTGCTGCCAGAGGAATCGACATCCACGGAGTTCCTTATGGTGAGAAAGATATGAGACATTACCTTTTTTGTTTTTTAAACACTGATTATATCGTGTGTTTAGTAAAGATTGTTATATTCATATTAACTTTCTGCCTTGATTTCTGACAACAATCATCTTTTTTTTTTCTCTAGTAATTAATGTCACCCTGCCAGATGAGAAGCAGAACTACGTCCATCGTATCGGCAGAGTTGGAAGAGCTGAGAGGTAAACACGGACATACTTGAAAATATGTTTGAGTTTGTCCGTGGCTTGGTAAAAGAGTTTAAATTATTATTTTATTGTTTTATGTTGTGTCAAAATGATCAAATTCATCTTATGTCTCATCACAGTAAGAGTCAGCTGAAAGTGATAACACTGTCTATACAGTTGAAATCATTTCCTTTTAACTTACAGAATGGGCCTAGCCATCTCATTGGTTGCTATGGAGAAGGAGAAGGTAGGGTGGATGATAAAGATACACTAATCATTTTAATTATGCATGGTTTTTGAAACTAGGTCAAAGTGCAGCTTTCCATGTGTGCAGGTTTGGTACCATGTTTGCCCAAACCGAGGCAGAGGTTGCTACAACACCCGGCTGAAGGAGGATGGAGGATGCACCATCTGGTACAATGAGAAAGAGGTGACCAAAGACGCAGATGCAAACTTAACAAAACTGAGGTGGCAACTTAAATTTGCTGTTTAAAATACGACACCGTCTCTAAGTCAGCGGGATTTTAAGTAATTTAATAAGCAGCAGATTTGGGAATTTGACATCCCAGCAGAAACAACACCCTTGGTTTGGAGGGTATATGATCTGATAATACTGACAGCTCAAGAACGCACTATGAACATCATTCCACACTCTTCATCATTCTCTGTTTTTGTCCTTTCCCCCTTTTACTGATCATAGCTCCTGTCAGAAATTGAGGAGCACCTGAAATGCACAATCACCCAGTGTGAGCCAGACATTAAAGTACCTGTGGATGATTTTGATGGAAAGGTTACCTATGGTCAGCGCAAAGCATTGGGAGGTATGTGTAACAGGGTCACAAAAGGAAAACAAATAGAATGATAGGTTGTAACCTGAATAGCAAGTTATCTTCAGTGAAATATCTAGAATTTCTGTATTATAACCTGATTGCAGACATATGTTATAGTGACACTTGTTATGTTGAGCTTGACAACAAACCAGTTGTTCTCATCTAGGTGGTAACTACAAGGGCCATGTGGATGTTCTGGCCCCAACAGTCCAGGAGTTGGCTAACCTCGAGAGAGAAGCCCAGACCTCCTTCCTCCACCTGGCATACATGCCAAACCAGCTTTTCAGAGCCTTTTAAATGCATCCCAACTAGCTGATAATACAGAATAATCAAAAATGGAACAGTTTTGCATGTTGCGTCAACAGGATTTGTAGTCAATTTTGCAATAAAGCAGCAATGTTCAGTTATATTTCAAGGTTTTTTCCACTGCCATAACTACATAAACATAACTTAGATGGAATTTATATTAAATTGTGTAAAATGCCCACAGTTCACTGAGTTTTCCAACTTTCTCTACAGTCTGCATCCAGAGGACAACTGGACCCCTGATTTCTGTTTAGTTGTCTAGTTTGTCCTGGAAAAGTTAGAATTGTAATTTGTGTTTTGGAAACTGAAAGCTTGTTTGCGTTTGTTGAAAATTTTTGAAGGACCCCAGATGCCATTGCTTCACTGCTTGCAAAATATTACAGAATTAAATTATCAGCTAATGTTAACACTAATGGTTGGATTTTGGCTTTTTGTTTTCTGATGAATAGAACTAAATAAAATATTTTAGTTTCCTTGAGTAATTGGTTAAAGGTCAATGTATGTAAGTGACTTGATGTCTTCTTTTCTGAAATAAATAGTAAGCTGTTCAGTTTGAGTTCATTTTCTTGTATTTATTCCTCAGAAAGAGATCATTTCTAAATAATTTTTTTAAGAGTTTTCATTTGCTGCTGGACTATGGCATAACGTTACATAAGAATATAATAAACAACAAATTTCCTTCAGCGGAAATCAACGAAAAGAACCAGAAGAAAACGTGTTTTGGAAGCTGTGAACATTTAGGTCATAAGAACAAGCCTCAACAGAAGTTTGAGAAACTTAATGCCCCAAATACAAAAACGCTCTTTTCAGTGCACTGAACCTGCATTTCACAGAAGTGAAACAATCTACTTCAGTATCATCTGCCCATTTCTGAGGGCTCTCTTCTTATACATCTTTTATTTTGAAATCCCCAGGCTGTGGGATTAGTTTGTTCTGATAATTCTTCAGCCCTCTCTAGTATTTAGTCAGGCGTATGTGAGACAAGACAAGATATATTAAATGAGATACTAGTGTCCTTGTGGAAGATGAATAGGAAATGTGTCAGTTAGCTTTTTGTGGGTGCCAGTTCATGTCAGAATTAATTTGGTAATGAGGAGGCTGCTTCTGCTGCTAAACACACTTTAAATGCTAACACATCCAGAGGGAATTTAAATCCTTTGGCTCCTTTTAAAACTCTCCATCTCACAATGTCAAACCGATGTTAACCCTGGTTCTTTGTGTTTTTGTTTTTTTGTCCCACTCTTTGTGCAAAAGAACGTCACCTCTTCAGTTTGGCAGCAATTGTTTCAGAATTTTAGCTGCTGAGAGCTCTGCCATGGCTGGTTGTTTGAAATGTCCACTTAGGGATTGAAAAACACTGCTTATAACTTATGCTAGGTGGCAGGCGGTGCTGTTTTACAGTTTGTATAACATCAGAAGGGCTGTAGGCAGCAGAGTGTCAAGGAGCTGGGTAGTATAGCAGAGAGACACGACATCCTGTCCCATTTTCAATTGATTTATCAGGTAGTGTGTAAAATCCTAGTTAATGCACCTTTAACCAGTGAGGCAATCTCTTTTTAGGTCATCATTGGTACACAGACAGTTCTGGCTAATGGAGGGCTGAGGGCCGTCAATGGGACACACACTCTAGCCCTCGCAGCCAAGCACCACTCAACACCCCTGATTGTTTGTGCTCCCATGTTCAAGCTCTCGCCTCAGGTAAGAAGACAGCGTAGTCTGTCAGATTTGATTCATTCCTGCCAATGACAAATGATGATGAAACTATTTTGTGTCCTTAGTTCCCAAATGAAGAGGATACCTTCCATAAATTTGTCTCCCCACATGAGGTTCTTCCTTTCACTGAAGGTAACTATCACATTCCATACAAAATGCTTGTTAATATCAACTTTTACAGCTTTAAAATAATTGTTGCTCTCTTGTAGAATATGATACTAAAGTTAATTTTCTGAGGTCTTCATAGTTCACATTTCCATTTCAGGTGAAATCCTCTCAAAGGTGAATGTGCACTGTCCAGTGTTCGACTATGTCCCACCCGAGCTCATCACACTGTTCATCTCTAACATTGGAGGACATGCACCATCATACATCTACTGACTGATGAGCGAACTTTACCACCCAGAAGACCACGAACTTTAATCAATGTAATTAACAAATCACTTAAATAAAATGGTTGTTACAGTGTCACTTGTGTCTGTTTCAACCCTATAGACACTACAGATGACTTGAATTGACACTTTGTGGAAGATTTAGATGATGATGTCATGTAGCTGACAGTGTGCATTCACATGACACACCCCCTTCTGTAATGCCAAAGTTTTGCAGAGCTGCATTAATGATTTCTGTGTAAGCTCAGAACTCGCAATGATCACATTAGGTTAAAAAATCTGTCAGACAATCAGTCATAAAGCATGTTCAGTGCACTGTGGGAAGAAATACACCTACACCAAGTGAAGTCACAGAATGATGCAGACTGTATGCAGAACAAACTGACAACATAATGTAAGGCCAAAAGCAGTTAATTTGTTTTTATTCCACATATATTTTTATGGCAGAGAAGTACTCATGGAGGTAGGTGTAGGTGCTGCTGTCCTCCAGGTGGAGGTGGTGTAGCAGCAGCAGAGCAGCAGGTCTGTGAAGGTTTCTGATGGAGTAAAAAGACAGAGCAGCAGCATTGAAGCTGTTGTGTGATGTAAAGATATAATGTTGGAGTGTGTGTGCTGTGACTGTAGTTCACTGGTGGGTGTAAAAAGACCGGGTCTCGTTGTGTTACTCAGGCTGCACTACAGCGTCTATTCACGGGCGCGATCCCACTACTGAGCGGCACGGGGGCTTTGACCTGCTCCGTTTCCGACCTGGACCGGTGCACCCCTCCTTAGACGACCTGCTGGTCCCGGGCTCCCCCAGGAGCACCATATCGATACCGAACTTAGTGCGGACACCCGATCAGCGTAGCCCGCTGCAGCTCAGAGCTCCTGAGCTCAAACGATCCTCCAGCCTCAGCCTCCCGGTAACTTGGATTACAGGCGCGCGCCACCGCACCCGGCGATGAACGTGTCCGTTCACCAGGCTTTAGATTCTGGTGTCGTGACGTCATCACGGAGCACACTGCAGCGTCGGATAAAACTACAGTTGCAGCGATGGAAACTGTTTTCACAGCTAAAACGCTATAATGCATTATTTTACATGAATGTGCATGCACCAGAGTGCGACACGGAGTCATCACGGAGCACACTGCAGCGACACGGAGTCAATGTAATTTAAACGTCATTTCATAGACTGTCAACATTTATATTTAGACTTTT